TTCCCCTCCTCACTTCGTCCTGACTTATCCGACAGACATCTCCCCCAGCCTTCATGGGCATTCTGGTGACATCTGACTGCGTGGCTCCTTTTCTTCTGACTGCTCGAAAGCTCGGAGATGTCATCTTCCGCGCCCTCGTCGTTCACTTCGACCTCACCCACCCGACAGGTAAGAAAACACGCAAGAAGCATAACAAGAAGCATAACAACAAACACAAAAAGAACTTCAACAAGAAGCATAACAATGCACACAACCAGAACCACAACAACAAGAAACATAACCACCATCACCTCGACAAACACAAGAACTTGCATCTTCTGAAAACTTGCAAACAGTCCCTGTTATCGGCCTTGCGCAAAGAAATCGCCAGTACAAACCTGTTCGTCCTGGTAAAAGAAAGTTTGGAAGCTCGCTGAGATGTAACATGGTCCAAACAGGTTCCAATTGGGCGAAACACAAACCAAAACATCATGAGGTTGCTGCTGCTGCTGCTGCTGCTGCTGCTGCTGCTGCTGCTGCTGCTGCTGCTGCTGCTGCTGCTGCTGCTGCTGCTGCTGCTGCTGCTGCTGCTGCTGCTGCTGCTGCTGCTGCTGCTGCTGCTGCTGCTGCTGCTGCTGCCCCTCTGACTGCCTGCCTATCTTTCTCATCCTCTTTGCAGGATTTCGGGATACCCGAGGGTTTTGACGACGGATCGCACACAGGTCACATGTCTCCTCCTCCTCCTCCTCCTCATCCTCCTCCTCCTCCTCTTCCTCCTCCTCTTCCTCCTCCTCTTCCTCCTCCTCTTCCTCCTCCTGAGAGCTCCTACCAGCCTCTGGGGAGATCGACAAGGTTCCTCTCGAGACAGGCTTGCAGACGCAGATCTTCATCAACGTCTCGATAGGTGTTCCTCGACAGACAGTGAAGGTGAGGAAGCAGAGGAGGAAGAAGAATAGAGCAAGGGAAAGAGGAGGAGGAAAAGGGGAAGGAGGAAGGAGGAAGGGGAGGCAGAGGAGGGGAAGGAGGAGGGGGAGGGGGAGGCAGAGGAGGAGGAGGAGGAGGAGGAGGAGGAGGAGGAAGCATTGGGTTGGTTGGGTCTAGTATAATTGCAAAAATTGTGAAGATTTGAAGGACAAGGAGAGGAGTAAAAGAAAAAGAGCAGCAAGAGGAAGGAGGAGGGAGGAGGAGTGGATGGGGGAGGAGGAGGGTCACCCAAGTGAATGATCTCACTGATCTCTTCCTGCTCCTGCTCCTGCTCCTGCTCGTTCAGGTTGTGTTGGACACCGGATCGAGCGTCTTTGCCGTTTTCTGCGACAAGGTGACTTGGCGTATCATGATATTCCGGCCTCTTTCTTGTTGCCATAGTCTCCGTTGTCCTCGTCCTCGTCCTCGTCCCCGTCCCCGTCCCCGTCCTCATCCTCTTCCCTCCTCTGCCTCCTCCATCACTCTTTCTCCTCTCTCCTCCTCCCTCATGACTCATCAGTTTTGTTTCTCGCAGCCTCCAAAGAAAGGGGCGAGGTCATTCGCGCACATCTACCTCCCTCACTTTATCCCCTCCTTCGCCTCGGTGAGCTCAGGTCCTGCATGCTCGCTCTTGACCCGCTCCTCTCCTCTTGCAGGCCAAGTCGTCGCACCGCTCGCCTACTTCGACAGGTGAGAGGAGAGGAAGAGGATGCAGGGAGAGGGGAAGGGAGAGGAGATGGAGGAGAGGAGGATGCCAGAGGAAGGAGGGGAGGGGAGAGGGGGATGGAGAATACGACCGGGTGATGAGAGGAGGGTGGGAAGGTGACAGGGGAGGGAAGGGAAGGGGAAGAGAAGGTATCGAGGGAACGAGGGAGGAAGCAGGAGAAGAGGGAGGAGGTTTCGATCTGATCATAACTCTGCAGGTCATGATGATCACACAGCACATGTAACTTGAGCTCTTTGCCGACGTTGTTGCTGAGATTGACATGGCAGAGGGGAAGAAGAAAGTGGAGGCCATGATGATTTCCTGCATGTTCATCCTCCTCCTCCTCCTCCTCGTCCTCCTCCCTTGGAGCAATCACCCCCCTTTCTTTCCTCCACATTCCCCCGTCCCGCTGTTCCTCCTCTTCTCCTCTGCCTTTTCATACTTTCGGACGTGCTGTCTCTTTACAAGTTGATTTCGAAAGAACAATAAATCTAGTAGAAATCTTGATGTCTACCGACGACATCCCAACTTTCTCCTTGTGATCTACTACCCATTCCCTCCTTTCCCTCTCTCTTCCTTCCTCAGTATCCTGTGTTGTCCCTCCTCTGCCCTCTCCATCCCTCTTGATTCTCCTCTCCCTCCTCCCTCCTGTCTTGCTCGTTCCCTCGCTCCTCTCCCCCAATACTTTCCTCACTCACACAACAAACTATTTATATATCCGTGCTTGTAAAACAATAAGAACACCCGTATCTACTCCACCACCTTCCACCACCTCCTCCTCTCCTCCCTTCCTCTCCCCCTTCTCCCCTCTCCTCCTCCCCTCCCCTCCCCCTTCTCCCTCCTCCTCTCCACCTCAGAAGGGGATGGGCTGATGGAACGGAGGGTCCATCCTCGCCCACTTGAAGATCTCAACGTATCTCTTTGCCGATCGCTCCCACGAGAAGTCTTGCTCCATGCACCTCCGCACGATCCCGGCCCATGCGTCCTTGTGGTTCTTGTACGTGTTGAGCGCGTTCCAAAGGCCGTACTTGAGGCCCTCGGCGTCACAGCAGTCGAACTTCCATCCTGTTCCTGTGTTCTGCGAGGGAGTGAGACGAGGGCGAGAGGAGGGAGGAGGAAGAAGTAAGGGAGGAAGGGAGGAAGAAGTACGGAGTAGGGAGTAGTGAGGGAGGGAGAGAGGAGGGAGGAGAGAGGAGGGAGGAGGGAGGAGGGAGGAGGGAGGAGGGAGGAGGGAGGAGGGGGAGAATCGAGGGGGAGAATGTAACGAAAAGAAGAGAGAATGGAGAGAGATGTGGAGGAGGCGACAAGGAGGGAGGGAGGAGAGGGAGGGAGAGAGGAGGGAGGAGAGAGGAGGGAGGAGGGAGGAGGGAGGGAGGGAGGGAGGGAGGGAGGGAGGGAGGGAGGGAGGAATTTCCTTTACCTGGAAGGGGTCGTACTGTATCACAGAATCTTTCAACCCTCCCGTGGCATGCACTACCGGCACAGTCCCGTACCTCTGCGCATACATCTGCGGGAGGCCGCAGGGCTCGTACCTGGAGGGCATGAGAATGATATCTGCTGCTGCTATGATCTTGTGCTCGAGCTCGGAGGTGAAGCCTACGAAACCAGCCACCCTCCCCTTGTTGTGGTTCTCCGCGTCTCTCAGAAACCTTGCGTACTTCTCGTCTCCCGTCCCCATCATGACCACCTGCACGTACCCCGTGACTCCGGCATGGTCGCCGTTCATGAGCCAGGGGAAGATCGACTCGATCACATCGATACCCTTCTGGTACGCAAGGCGCCCGATGAAGGCGACGATGGGGATGTTGGGGTCCTCCCTCAGCCCCATGCAGTTCTGCAGGTGGAGCTTGCAGGATCGCTTGCCCGTCGTGTCGTCCTTGTTGAAGAAGTTGTCGTACCCCTGGCACTTGGCAGAGAGGAAGCGATCGGTCTCAGGGTTCCACTCGTCACAGTCGATGCCATTGAGAACTCCGTCAAGGTGCGGGAAGCGTCCTCTGCACGTGTCCTGCAGTCCCCATCCTCCCTCCACAGTGATGATCTCGTCCCTGTAGCTCGGCGACACCGTCACGACCCTGTCCGCCATCTCGATCCCTCCCTTGAGCAGCTTGATCTGCCGGTCGTGGAACAGCTTGTCGTAGTAGGCGCCGTCGGGCAGTCCCAGGTCGTGCGGATCGACGACTGGGAAGTTTCCGCAGTAGCCCATGTTGTGGATATCGAAGACTGTGCGAGCTTGCTTGTAGCAGCCGTACCTCCGGTAGTGCGATGTCATGATCAAGGGGACAAGTCCCACCATCCAGTCGTTGACCAGGAAGATGACGTCATCTCCGTACACCGACCCGTCGCACTCCACGGAGAACGGGGCCTCTAGCGCCGCCCATGACAAGAGCGCGAACCTCATCAGATCGTCGTTGTGCCCATACATGCCGTGCCTCTGCGCTCCAGCGTCAACCCCTCTCCTCTCCTCCTCCCCTCTCCCCGTCAACTCCTCCTCCTTCAATCCTTCTCTCTCCTCGCACTTTCCTCCCTTCTCAATCCTTCTGCTCCCCCCTCCCCCTTCTTCCTCATCATCCTCCTCATTCCTGTCCTCCCCATTCTCCTCCCTTTTCTCCCCCTTCTATTCTGCGCTTCTCTGCCCTCCTCGATCGTCCAGAGTTCTACTGACCTCGTAGCAGCCTTGCTGTACGAAGATATGGTCCACACCCTGCAGCTAGGTCAGACCTTCCCTGTTTTGCTTCCCATGATTCAAGAGAAAGGAGAGCCGAGGGGACTAGATGCCAAGAAGACAAGAGAGGTGAAGAAGACAGGAGTAAAGCGGAGAGGAGAGGAGAGGAGAGGAGAGGAGAGGAGAGGAGAGGAGGAGATAGAAGGAGCAAGGTGGACGGAAGGCAGGAGAGGAGAGACGAGACGAGAAGGGTAGAGACGGGGATGGGAGGGGAGGGGAGAGGACAAAGGGGAGGGGAGGAGGGGAAGGAAGAGAACAGAGGGGAGGGGAGGAGAGAGGAGGGGAGGGGAGGAGATTGGAAAAGAAAGGTTGATACTAAAGTGCAAGAGGGGAGAAGAGGCTTTTGAACAACCAAGGAGGGAATGGGGAAGACGATGTGGGGCAGGGTGACGTGACTTACGCGTGCTGGCTGCGTCTCAGTTGCCGGAACAGTCTCCCTGAACTTGCGAAAATATTCGATCCTGAGCTTCTGCTTGAACAGGCCAAACTCCTTCCAGACACTGCCAAGAGTCATCACTACGTTGCCAAGCTTATCCTTTCCTACTCCCATTCCTCCCTCCCCCCCCTTCTTTCCTCCGCATTCTCTTGCTCCCCCCCTCCAAGTCCTTGTGTCTTCCTGCTCCTGCTCCTGCTCCTGCTCCTGCTCCTGCTCCTGCTCCTGCTCCTGCTCCTGCCCTGTTCCGCCTCCTCCTCCTCCTCGCTTCGTCTCACCCGGTGTACTGGGCTCCTTCATAACGCCAGTAAAGAGGAGCGACGGTCATCACGCGATGACCCATGCGAGACAGCGCAACCTTGTAACCGCAAGTCAATGGATATAGGGTGAGTCTTCACTTCCAGCAGGAGCGTTGGAGCAGTAAGGCGAAGATGAGAGGGAGACGACGACGACGACGACAATGATGATGATGATGATGATGGAGATGATGATGATGATGATGATGATCAAGAAGAAGAAGAAGAGGATGATGATCATGATGATGATGATGATAGGTTTCGGTCGAAGGGATGAAAGTGCTGATGGAAGAGCTGACATGTGGGAGGAGGAACAGGAACTCACTCCAAGCTTATCGCAAACGTCAGCAAGTCCTCCAGACTTGGAGAAGGGAGCGACTTCAGAGGAGACGATCACAATCTTGAGTCTCTCCTCAGGAGGGAGCACTTGCTCTGTCGGCTCTACAGGCTTGCTGTCCTTGGCAAGCGCTGCCTCGATCTTCTTCTGGATGCTCTCAACAGGAGGAGTCTTCGATTCTTCCGGCTCGGGAGCCTTGTCCGCAGCCTCCGTCAGCGTCACGTCGTTCAGGCATGAGTAGGACGCCGTGCGCGTGGGCTTGAAACTGCCCAGCCCGTAGCTCTTGGCGAGCTTGTCGTAGCTCGCTGCCAAGTCCGCCACCTGCCTCTCCAGCTGGGAGTTCGCTCCCAGAATCTTCTTGAGCCGCGACTTGGCGTCGTCGAGCCGCTCGTTGCTAAAGTTCTTCTTTACTCCCGTGTTGCCGTCGTTTCCTCCCCGCAGGCTCAACCTTCTCATCCTCCCCCATCCTCCTCCCTGCTGCATGCGATCGTGAGCCAACAGTGAGCTGCGGTAAGCTAGTACCGAAGTGTGCAACCCGCTGCAGCTGCCGATGACTGCCAGCGCCACAAGCAGCAGCTTCATTGCGCTGCAGGAAAAGAGCTTCAACAAAACAGATACAGTTCAAGATGCATCCTTGGCATGCTACAAGCCTGTGTTCACTATCCTACCTACACTAAGGTACACTGCTAAGCAGCTACGAAACGAGTGATTGAACATGAGAACGATGATCCATAAACCCCAAATCCCAAACCAGGCACCGTTCAGCTATATTGTATTCTTGCTTTTCGCATGCATTCTCGTTCTTTGAGAACCGTTGTGCCAAAGAGGTTTATCGAGACATCTCAGACAAGCAGGAGCTACTTGCTTGCAGCATCTCAGACAAGCAGGAGCTACTTGCTTGCAGCATCTCAGACAAGCAGGAGCTACTCGCTTGCAGTTGCTACTTTCAAGCGCGTCCATAACTGGAACATTGCTTGTTTGGTCTTATGACATGAGTGAGACTCTCTGGATTGAGATGTTTTTCAGAGCATGCACATCTCTGATCAGAGCATGCATATCTACTCGAGATCAGCGTAACTAAATGATGACTGAGTTTGCGGGCAGGATTCCTTTGTGATCCATTGGTCCATACCTCTGAATCTTGCGTTTCTAATTGTTTCACTTCTTTGCCCAATTTCCAATAACCTACCATTTGCTCCTTATCGGGCATTGTTTTCTTTCCTAATCATCTAACAACCTTTCCTTTCTGTCTTTCTCACTTCATCTTCATCCATTTGCTTGCATGAATTATCGCTCTCCTCGCTCTCCCTTACCTGCATCTTTCCGACGCCATGGCGGCTTCGATACTACCTTCCGATACTGTTTTCAATGCAATACTACCCTACCCTTTTCCTTCAATTTGGAGTTGATATCACCGGTATATGGATGACCCCATTGCATCCCACCCCACCCCCATGGAAGATCCTAACTTTGACTATATCACCACCCTTGGAGGGTTGGGAATGTACCCACCCCAGAAATTTGAGTCATTAAGAAATGAGAAGATAAAGACTGAAATAATTTCAATTGCAATTCAAGTATTTCAGTACATGTCCCTATGATAGGGACCCATAAGCTTTCTGTACCCCCAATCATTTTATTTTGAACCCCCTGTCTACTCGCCACTGCCTTTATACCTCGAAGGTCTTCACGTTCGTAGTCAATATTAGTGACATTATCTTGACTATAGACCTTGCGCCCCCCATAAAAGACGTCAGCACGGCACTGCAGTGGCCCGCCGGCGGGCGCGGCCGGCCGGGCGGCCCAGTGGTGACGGTGGGGGCCCGGTCACCGGCGGAGTCACAGCAGTTGGCAGGATTGGGTTTGGTTCTCGCTGTCTTTTCTCTTCTCGCCGTTTGGCCCTGTGCGACAGTGTCAGGGTCAAGCCTCCTAGTCTCTCCTGATTGTCCTCGTACTGATCTTTAACTTAACTTTGAGTAAAGGCACAAGGCCCTTCAATGCTGAACTTCACTCAGCCTTCAAGGCTTACCGACTCGGTCCGAGTCCGCCCGGGCCGCCCGGCCGGTGCCAGGTACGCCGGTCGCCCCGGGCCCGGCCCCGGCGGCCAGCCGCTCAGTGCAGCAAGCTGAGGCTGGTCGGAGGCCTCCGGCCTGACTCAGTGAGGCTGCGGCCGCTCAGTGCTGGCCTCGCGGCTAGTTCCAAGTTTAGCGGCCCCGGGGGCCGCAGTGAAGCACGGCGCCGCGGGCCCGGCCCGGGGCCGGGCCGGTGTGACCCATCCGGGCCCGCCCCCGGCACTGAGCCTGCCAGTGCCGGCCGCCGCCTGAGTCAAGGCGGTGGAGTCCCGGTCCGAGGCCCTCGCCCGGCCGGGCGCCCGCGCCCCCGGGGGCCGGGCCCTGGCAGCCTGGCCCACCGTCGTGACTGCCAGGCCGCTCGCGGCGGCGCGGCCCGGAGCCAGTGGCCGCCGCCGGCCGCCGGGCGGTCCCGGCGGCCCCCCCCGGCCCAGCCCGGCGGCCGGCCCCCCGTGTCAGGCTACCGGCGGTTGACCGCCGGCCGCGCGGGCGGCGCCCGGCCGACCACGCCAACTCAGTGCCACAGTGCCATCCGCCCCACTGTCACTGCCGTAATCGGACCGGTACTAAAAACCTGTACGAGGGCCGCTGGGCTTGGGAGTGCCGAACTCATGCAATTTCGTTTTCTCTCCCTCCATGAAACGAGAATGCTTGGGATAATCTTCTGAAAAGGCTGACGTTCCCTTCCCGATGTCCGGAGGGCCACCCCCGGGGCCTGCCGGGGGGTCTGTTCCTTGATCCGAAGGGACTCAGCAACCTTTTATGTGTCTATCAAAAACCATTTTTACCTGTCCCCTGTACTCGAAACCACTCCATTTCATAGATTCTTCTTTTCAAAGATATTACGTAGTAAACAATTGAAAGCAAAAGGTACCTCCCACCCCCCCTCCCACCCCCCTCTACATCTACTTTACTTGAAATGCAACTGAAGCCCCGGGTAGGTCATGATGGCATACGGTATTCTCCTCCGACAAGTTCCTTATCGCTCCCTGGTGGGTAGTCGCAGTCTAGGGGGTTGTAGGTGATGGTGGGTGGGTGGGTGGGATACGGGTGGGAAACCTCCGAGCAATGGGATGGAGCTAAGGTGGTGGGGATACATTTTAAAATAAAGGTGACATGCGCTTTTATAAGGTCGGCTGATTTGCTGGGGTGGGTGGGAGGAAAATGAGGATTGGTTAGGGGTATATTGTTTTTATGGTAGGGTGCAAACATTTGTTCAATTCTATGAAGTCTGGACAGGTAGGGTAGTGATATATTGTTATACCTGGTGGGGGCTCCCATAGTTTTTCATTCAAGGTGGGTACATGTAGAATTAGGGGTAGGGTACGAAGAGTCGCATAGCGGAGGTAGGGTAGAGTATCCTGATATCCTACGGGTTAACAAATACGGACTGCACTACCCATACTACCCACCCCAACAGGACAATACAGTACATGTACCCACAAATGATTCCTCACTCAACTCACGTACCCCCCTTTTCCAGTTTTTTGACCCCACAAATTGTAGACTTCCTGCCCGATGGCAAGTACCCCCGTGACATATCTGAAATACCACCCCACCCCCAGGAACTCTTTCCTTTATGAATGGCCTAAAACTTGTTTTAAAAACCATTTAGCGAGCGGCGGGATACCCAAAGGAGGTCTACCACCCCACCGTACCCACACTCGTTATTTGGTACCACCCCTAATTTCCTTCTAGAAACACCTTACCCCTTTATGTACCTTGAAGACCACCCGCTCGTAGCTACAATCTGCTTACCTGTTCCCTCCCACCCCACCCCTTTATAAACTTTAAAGTACCCCTACCCACCATTGTCCCAAACAGTATGCCTGACCCGTTAACATGTTTGACCAAATCAGCATGAATGCCCCCCACAACCCCTCAACCGTCCAACTGGGACCCCTACCCTCAAAAAGGCTCACATCCCGTCCGAAAGTACCCCACCTTCACGTGAAACCTGTTTCATTATGGTAGGGGTAGTAGTGCCCGTCCAGTGGTCAAGCACTACCCCTTACCCCTTTTGGCTTACAATAGAGACCACCCTACCCTAGTGCTTTACTGGAAATTAACCCCTGGTCAACAGAACACATGCTGATCTTGTAAAAGAGTCCCCCCGACAGAACCCACACGCGCGCCACACAGTTGCTAATAGCAAGCACTCCCAGACACCTGTGTTCCTCAACCACCACCTCCTCCTCCCTTCCTCCTCCCTTCCTCTTCACTTACTCTTCCTTCTGAGCCCTCTCCTCCTCCTACTCCTCCTCTTGAATACTCCCGTTCCGCTTCACTTTTCTGCCTCCAAATAATTGTAATCTGTTGTTGCGGTTCATAGTTTGCATTTATCAACCTTATTTTGGAATTTCGCTGCCTGTGCACTCTCAAAGCTGAAGCATAATAAGCTTATATCTGCCGTCTGCAAACAACTCGCCTACTTATATCCACGTCAACCAGTCTCGCTGTTTCTTGGATAGGATTTCCTATTTTGAGACGACATGACTCAGCCGAATTTCAAGAAACGGAGAACAGGGAATCATTTATCAGAATGGAAACCGGGCATTGCTCTCAGACAGGAAGACGATCTGCAGCTTCCAAATGTAGCTGCGCTCAGAAAAACCTCGTTACTCTTCAACGAACTCCGCAGCGAGGTTTACAATGTACTGAGAAGACGTCACAACAGGTTTGAAACTGAACGGGCTATTTCCAAACAAATCGCGGAGAGGAATCCATTGACGCAAAAGAGTGAAGCTAGTGATACTGACTCAAATCCCCACTCACCAGAAACAGAAACGGTCGACCAGAATGCTAGATCCAACAAAGTCACCCCAAACCTTCACCCGATCCCTGTATGCGTGAAAGGGTTGGAAGTGGAACCGAAAGACGCGGACAACAAGAATGGCATCAGTTACATGTGTGTGGAAGGCGACATATCGACAGAACTCCCCCCTATATCTCTCTAATAAAGCTCCCTCAGCGCCTTGCAAGCGAGCCAGACTCCTGATACCATGGCATGTAGGTTCAGCTTTTTATTTCACATGCCCAAAATGCATGAGAGATATGATGTTTGAGATTGCACGGCAAAGTGAGCCTGTAGCGTTCGCTTCTAATTCGTTTCGCCGAGTCCTTCTAGCACGCAAGCTCATGTGTGATTCAAATCTAATGCTTGACATAGGGTTGATCCCAAATCTGTGAAACGGTGTCATGTTGATATCTGGGCCAACAGCCCATCTGCTACCTCATGTGGTACAGGAAGGTTTCTCTGCCACTTGGTTCCTCCTGGCATCTCGGGGAGCTGAACATTAAAAATCAGGACAACTTTCTTGTGACCGTTCCTGACAAGGCGATCGAAGCCTTACAATATAAGGATCTGGATGGGCGTACTTCTTAAGCCGAGCCTCACCAGCCTGTTTGCATAGTTAGGGGTGAGATCTGCGATAGCTGAGAGAGTGACCTTCAAAAGGTCCTCCGCATACGCAATGTTGGGTTCGTGCCTGTGCCTCTCAATCTGGTTTCTCACCTGAATGGCTTGCTCAGACAGAACTTCTCTGCACAAGATAGTCAAATCAGGTCTTTCATCCGGTAAAAGATCATCTTTCACCTGTCGACAACCCAGTCCATAAGAGTTTTGATTGCTCGGCGATAAAGCCTACAAACTCTTGCTTTGTGAGCAACCGTGTAGGACATCCCTGACACGAACGCTTCAGAGACAATACATAACCGTGCGTCGATTCCATCATATCATACTTGAAAGAAAAAAAACATGCTAAAGAGGGTGTTTGCCAAAAAAAAAAATCACAAGATGAAAAACGGCATCAGGTTTTCAGAGGCAAATAGCGTTGTGAGTTTGAGAATCAAAATCTATGGGTTTGTTCTCGGTCAATTTTGAAAATTGATATACACCCTGTGTTGTCAATATCTCTCCAAGGCACGAACTGATCGGCTTTTTGTAGTCCACAAAATGAAATGCGCCATGCTGAACACTGCATGGACATGGTACAATTATGCCAAGGATTCAGATATCATAACGATATACACAAAAGATAAACGAATTTGATGAAGCAATCGAGCATAGTAACAGGTTTGTCAGAACACTACATGGACGACAGGCATTCTGCTCGTCAAGAATTACCAACGTGATATTTTCCATGGGACACAAAATGCAAGAGGAAGAGCAAAGATAGCTCTTCCAAACAAGCATGTTGTCGTCCGCACCCTCATCTAGAAAATAATTTGTACCATCGTTACACGTATCGCCCACTCGTTCCTTCGGTGTTGTTGCGAGCCCATAGCGACCCTCCATCTCACAAAGGCTCAAACACATCATAACACTTTCTACACCATCCAGTTTCTCTCGCGCTGTTCTTGTTGGGATGTTATTGTTTTATCTTCGCATTTCGGACCTTTCTTGCTCATCCTCCCTTCCACCTCCCTCCCCCCCCCTCAACCCCCCTCTTCCTCCGCACATGGCAAGCCATCTCGGCTGCCTCTCTCAACTCTGCATCACCCTACCCTATAGAAGAAAGTTTGGGGATCTGGAATTGGTATACAGGATGTAGAGAACATTTCAATTCTGAGGCAAAAACAAATTCTACAGTGAAGAGCCAACCACCCACCCACCCATCCACCCATCAAATAGTTCCAACGATATTGTAACGGCCTTGCAACGTAATAAGCTCCGCTCAGCACTCGATCGCCCGGCCGGACTCCGGGACTCAGGAGTCCAAGCTGCCAGCTGAGCTGTCCGGCGGCCGGGCCGGGCCCGGGGCCGGGCGGTGTTAGTAAGTTCGCCGGAACTCCGTTCAACCGTTGAAGGTGACGGAATACAAGTTTGTTAGACTTGTACTAGCCTTCAACTTAGTCACGCAGATATCACATCGACCTTAGTTGCAACAAGACAGTTTTTGCTCAAGACCGACTCGAGTTTAATGCACCGTGCAATTCTGAGTCTGGTTTTGTGACAAAACCAGAATTGAGGAGCACATGAGAGATAGACTGCATGCTAGTATGTGAAACCCCAGCATCCGATCCAGACATCCGGGCGATTGAGAAGACCTCAGCAAGACGGCTACTGAGGAAGGTCTCCGGGAGTCCTCGGAAGTTCGTCGACGGCAGTACGGTAGTACGCCGCCGCGAGTCCCGCCAAGCCTCCGATGTGACTGAGTCACTGGGCCCGGAGCTTGCTGAGGGCCGGGCTTAACTTCCTGGGCGTCACGGCGGGCGAAGTTTCAAAAGTACTGGACTTTTATTTTCAATGCTTAATTTCAAAACAACTCCTAGCGTGGAGTAAAGCAATATACCCTCATCACCCTGAAAAAGACTCTCTTGGACAAATTGCGCGTTTTCAGTGGGTCACGTGAACAACATTACATGTATCTAGAATATTCTGGAAGTAAAGTAACAGGGTCGCTGGTCACGATGGGACGTTCAAGGAGACTGGCCAGCGTGACGACCAACACGCACGCGATGTCGGAGGCGATGAACAATGCGACACAGTCGCCAAGACATGCCGACGCCATGAAAAATGCGGACGATCAGTACTTGTCGAAGACAATGAGAGAGTACAAGAACATCCACGTGCTTGCTGAGCATGCGCTCATGGGGGTTCAAAAGATCGACCTTCAGATCCCTTTGCTTTACACTGAAGAAGAGACTGAGAATCTCAGAGGGCTCCACGAGACTCTCAGGAAGTGCAAGTCAGAGGACAGCATCTGCTCTATGAAGCCGAAGCCGAAATGGGAGGATACGGTCAATCCTGTCCTGCTTATGCTGCTTTTTGTCAACATCTTAATGTTCTCAGTGATGCTTTTGATGGCCCTTTTGCCCCGCCAGCACAGCGTGTAATTCTAGACCTGCAATCATGCGAATGACCAACTCTCTGATCCCGCCTGATCTTTCTACCTTTCTTTACTCGTTTGTAGACTAGTAATTTAATGAAATCTTGCAAAACTACTTTCTGCTGCTTGCTCTTTGTTCTTGCCCATGCAACATGTTATTTACCCCTGCTTGCGCCCTGTCTTGAACGAAGAAACGTTTCTTGCACCTCAACCGACTCTATGGTGTTTCTTTAACATCGATGGAGGTTTTATTGCTGGTCAGCAACAGATTTCGCGGTTGACAGCCTTTGGCGAACAGATTTCGTATCAACAAGCTTTTTTGAAGAGCGCTCGAGATTCCAGAGCTTTTGTACGTGTTTGTGATCGGACATGTCTTGGAGCCATTGCTAGTCGAGTTTGAGATCAGCGCACTGTCAGATGATCGGATCGAAGATAGTTGTTCCAGAGACTTCGTGAAATTGTTGCCTTGTCTGACACTGACAAATTGTGTTGGAGATTCTTTCTTGTTTTAACCTGTTCCAACTATTAACAGTGCCCAACTTTCTATTGTAGCCGTTGTCTTTCGTGCATTTCTTGTTTTTTAGCCTTTCAGCAAATTCATTGATATGCTATTTGGCGTCATGCGTGCCAGTATAATGCTTATATTGCAGGACAAATAAGAGAAATGTGATTCTATTGCAGGACAAAACAAGAGAAATGATGCTATTCCAAACAAGCTGTCAAGTATCATGCTGTCTCTGAACAACAACTGTTGGAATGTTATCTGTTCTTCTCCATTGATGACTAGAAGCGGGGGGCTTCTGTCTACGACCATCATGGTAGTAACGAAGTTGCAAACAAATGCCTTTTGGCCTCGAATAACTCGCCCCCACTTCTTTGGTCTCTTTTCTCTTGCACGGCTTTTCAATGCCCTTATCCATTGCTGTTTCTCGCCGCTTCGAGGAGCACACCCAGTAAGTGTCATGTAGATAGTCGACTTTGAAATGTTTGTGGGAATTCCACTAGAACGCACTTTCCATTGATCGCAAAAACAAACAATTACAGTAGCATTCTTTATTGTATAAAAACATCACGTTAATAGCCTGTATGGTACATCCTACCTGATCACTACCCTCTCTGTACACCGCTGTCTTCTCAAAAACAGCATTCTACTTATACATCCCGCTCTAGCATACCCGCGCACTCCCTCTGCTAGTGGATCATCCCCATCGCTACTCCCATGGCTCCCACAAGTATCGTCGACGCCACGTTCATGCACAGCACCCACGCCGCTGCCCTGATCATGTTGCGGTCGCACGAGGAGAGGCTGCGCTGATCAACACGAGACGGCCTTGCGAAGCAGGCCTTCTCCTCCTCGGGGGAGTAGGAGACGGGGATGTGGAGGTCGACGGGCTGATAGCCGAGGAGAGGGTGGAGGGCGAGGAAGTGAATGCTCTTGGTCTCGAGGGCTCTGGCGGTGGTCATGGTGGCAAGGGGAGGAGGTTGGGAAGGCGTCGGGAGGGAGGTAGAGGTTTTTCTGTGGATCTTACAGTGGTAGTTTACTACAAGTTTAGATCTCTTGAGATGTCATCTCAGCGTCAGCTTCTTGAAAGCATTCGAGAAGCTTCCTTCGTACAGTAAAGACCCTGTAAGAGGTCGTTCCAGAGCTTCTGCAACTGCTCCGACCGTCATGCTGACATCCCTCCTCCCTTCAAATCCGGACCTCCTTCCCAACCTCTTTCCCTTGCGACCATGACCACCGCCAGAGCCCTCGAGACCAAGAGCCTTCACTTCCTCGCCCTCCACCCTCTCCTCGGCTATCAGCCCGTCGACCTCCACATCCCCGTCTCCTACTCCCCCGAGGAGGAGAAGGCCTGCTTCGCAAGGCCTTCTCGTGTTGATCAGCGCAGCCTCTCCTCGTGCGACCGCAACATGATCAGGGCAGCAGCGTGGGTGCTGTGCATGAACGTGGCGTCGACGATACTTGTGGGAGCCATGGGAGTAGCGATGGGGATGATCCACTAGTAGAGGGAGTGCGCGGGTATGCTAGAGCGGGATGTATGAGTAGGAAGCTTTTTGGAGAACGGGGTGTACAGAGAGGGTAGTGTGTAACATATGAGATGGAACATGAGGTGTTGTTGCAATAAAGATATTTGCTTCGATTTGTTTCGTTTGAGTTTGTTGCCTGCTAGTGATATGGCAGGAGAATGTCTGGTCCAATTAAAGGGAATCCTTGCTTTACTGTGAAAATCAACATATTTCTAGCATCACATCTGACTGAGACGTCTGTCGTAAGCATAGAAAAACCTCGCTGTCATGTCCAAACCTATCGTGTTTGGAAAAGGAGCTCACTGCGACTCGGCTCAGCTTGCTACTCCTTAGTCGATGGCACTGTTTTCTCTTGCCGGAAAGATTCGATTCTTGCAACTCGCCGCCCAAGCTTGGAATAGGAAGCAGATTGCTGTCGTCAGTAATCTGTATGCTTCCAACATCAGTTTTTCTTGAAGAGCACGTTCGACAGGCGCATGCCGCTGCATGGACCAAATAAGACGAGACAGATTACACGCTGAGGGCACACAGAAAACCCAACCTGACCCAACCTGACAAAAAGCAGGCATGAAGGCCTCAAACCAGCGTGACAAACCACAGATTCAGTCTATAATCTCAGAGCAAACATCTTTATTACAACAACACCTCATGTTCCATCTCATATGTTACACACTACCCTCTCTGTACACCCCGTTCTCCAAAGAGCTTCCTACTCATACATCCCGCTCTAGCATACCCGCGCACTCCCTCTGCTAGTGGATCATCCCCATCGCTACTCCCATGGCTCCCACAAGTATCGTCGACGCCACGTTCATGCACAGCACCCACGCCGCTGCCCTGATCATGTTGCGGTCGCACGAGGAGAGGCTGCGCTGATCAACACGAGAAGGCCTTGCGAAGCAGGCCTTCTCCTCCTCGGGGGAGTAGGAGACGGGGATGTGGAGGTCGACGGGCTGATAGCCGAGGAGAGGGTGGAGGGCGAGGAAGTGAATGCTCTTGGTCTCGAGGGCTCTGGCGGTGGTCATGGTGGCAAGGGAAAGAGGTTGGGAAGGCGTCGGGAGGGAGGTCCGGATTTGAAGGGAGGAGGGATGTCAGCATTCTGGAACGACCTCTTACAGGGTCTTTACTGTACGAAGGAAGCTTCTCGATTGCTTGCAAACAGATTCTTAGTGCCTTGCTGATTAGAACTTAGTTTTATTCTTGTAGTAAAATACTACTGTAAGATATCCTTCGAGAGCCCAGCGTCCCTAAACCGCATCGTTCTGAACAGCATGCTGACATCCCTCAGCGGCCCCCGTTTACAATGTGACTCATGACTCCGATGACTCATGGTCCGACGGTCCACTGGGCCAAGCCGCGCCCGGCCCGTGCGGCCGAGTCGGAGGGTGAACCTGACTCCGGCTGTTCACTGAGTGGTTGGAGCCGCGGGGCCCGGCTTGACCGGGGCCGGTACGGTCCGGCGGCCGGCTTGACTCGGACTCGGCGAGGCCGGCCCAGCCGGGCGGCGGCGTTTGGAGATCGGACTGAGACTGACTCAGCCTCCGAGGCGCACTGAGGCGGCGGCGGGCCCCGCCCCGCCGGCCGCCGGGGCGCCGGGCCGGGGCGCGGCGGCTCAGCGGCTGTTGCGAATCATGGCACTGTACACGATACGGAAACCGCTTACGGCCCGGGAGTCACGGTTCAGTGGCCGGGCATTGCAGTGGGCCGCACTCCGAAGAGTCTGAGGCACGGTCACGCCCGGCCACCGTACTGCCACGGTCACTCGGCCCGGTTGTGACTCACAGGCCTGCCCGGCCCGCCTCGAAACCCGGGTGACCGTTCGACCGTACGGTCACTGAGTTCAACTTCCAGCGGGGCCGGTTTGACTTGGATCTTCAAGCCGGCGAACTTCCGAATCTGAGTTCGCAGCGGGGCACCGAGTCCGAGTCGTGCCGCTGTGCCAGCCCGGCCGGTCACTGAACCAGTAGCTGATTCTTGACTTGCCGCGAGTGCTATAGTACCCGGCCGCTGATTCAATGAATGATTCGGATTGCCGCGGGCGGGCGCCCGGCCCGGATCCGATTGCGGCCCGGCCCGGCGTGCAGCGGCGACCCGGCCGCCCGGCCGCCCGCGGGGGCCCGGCGGGCGCCGTTTCCAAGTTGCGGACCGTGACTGGGAGTCGGACTCAGTCCCGGCGGCCGCGCTCAGTGGCCGCGGCCCCGGCGTCACGGTTGCAACTTGAACGCTGGGCCCGGGACGAGAAGGGCAGCAAATGTCTAGTAGTGAGCCGATTAGTGCTTCATTTCAGGATGTTGCTAATACCCCCACCCCCTATTGATAGTGTCAACACCCCCACCCCGACCCTTCGAGCTCGTGCTACATCGAAAATGGTGAGAAAGGAGATTGGGAAGATGAGGAAGGGAGGGAGGGGTGAAGATGCAGGACAGACTTGCTGTGGGCGTAGATGGTGGAAACTATGCCAATGATGTCGTTATCGGCATCGATGTTGCATTGGCGCCTATGCATATGATGATGATGGTGATGACCATGATGATTGCTGTTGCGATGAACTGGAAACAAATAGTGTGGGAAACATGTTGCTTTCGATAGCCGTTGCCCGGAGATAAGTCGACATCGATTGCTTATATAGTTTTCGATGCCACTCAATGCATACTGCAACTTGTACACGTTTGCTATCACTCGCCGTTGTTGCTGCTCTGTGCGCCATCGCTCCCGGCGTGCACGATGTCTTATGTCGGCCTTTGATGTCCCGCCAGGCGACGGGAATGTTTGACGTCCTGAATGATGACATGGACGTGCACCAGCTAGCTCACACGTTCAGGTCTGCGACCTCCTTCCGTCTGCTCCTCCTGCTCCTCCTGCTCCTCCTGCTCCTCCTGCTCCTCGTCCTCCTGCTGCCCTGACTCCCGCCCTTGCTCCTGCCCTTGCCCCTGATCCTTCTCCTCTCACCCTCATCCTCGTTTTAAATCTCAGTCTTGTCCAACTTCTCATTGTTCCAGCTTGCGATGATTCCATGTACTCTCGTCATATGCAGCTGCTGATTCCTTTTCCCCTCCTCCGCGTTCCCTCCTCCCTCTGGTAGCCCTTCCACTAGCTCCACCCCCCCCCTTCCCCCTTCTTCTCTCTCCCTCCACTGATGACTCTGACTGACAGGTTCTACTTCATCGCAAACAATGACGAAGAGGACTCGCAGTCATCGGAGAGGGTAGGAGGAGGCGACACGGCTCGTGCCCTGTCCTGAGGTCTGACGTCGGAGAACAGGCAGAGAGTGAGCTTTACAGCACGCCCTCCTTCAACACGGTCGAGGAGTTCTGGAGTATCTACGACCATCTCGTCAGGCCAAACGAGATGTCAACCAACTTCGACTGCTGCTTGTTCCGGGTAGGTAGAGGGGGGACAGAGCACGGAGGACTAAGGACAGAGAATGGAGGAGGAGGACGAGGAGGAAGAGGAGAACGAGGAGAAAAGGAGGAGGAGAACGATGAGGAGCAGCGAGAAGGGAGGAAGGGAGGAAGGGAGTGCTATGGTGGATGGCAGTATGATAGCATTGACAGGATGGGATCAAACCGTTTCCCGACGACCCGGCGAACATGGGAGGAGGGAAGGTGAAGAGGAGGAGAGCGGAGAATGGGGAAAAGGGTCTTGTTTCTTTTGGGGGGGGGAAGACTGAAGTAGTTCCTTGTCAGTGGACGCTGAGGTTGAGGAAGGGTCTGGCGTCGAGGTTTTGGGAGGAAGTCATTCTAGCGTGCATCGGTGAGAGACAGGAACAGCTGATTGAGCTTGCATGTTTCCTTGGTCGGCACATCTTGACCCGCTCTCCATATATGACAATGTTGTCGTGAGATCTCCCCTGCCGAAGTTGTGGATAAATGTCAGGAAGCTGATGGAGTACGCCGTTGCGTTTCTCACTTGCCTTGTTTCTTTGCTGCTGCTGCTGTCCTTCACTTATTCATTTTCTCGTCCTTGGGTATTCCTCCTTCCTCCTCACAGCTTCGTTGCTGCTGCTCCTTGCGCTACTTCGTAGCTTCCTCTTTGCCTGATTTTATCCTACAGGCGGAGCTCACAACATGAGTCAGGATTTCTGCGGAGCAATTGTGACGAGGTAGATCTTGTGCTAACCCGTGTTCCTGCTGGGGATGATGCGACTGCAGCCGGCCAGAGGAGGATGTTCTCTCAGTATGGTGCGATCACCGGTGAAGCTCTTACATGTCTCTTGTAGTCTGTTGTTGCGTGCAATTGTGTGTTGTGTGTTTGCGTGCAGTGACAAGTGTGGACGGATTATTGCCTCGCTGTCTCGTGTTGTCTCTCGTTGCCTTGGATGTATTCTCACTCGACGCAACTTTTGCGCTGGTTCGATCTCCTTCCCTTTCTTGATTGTGCGTTCTCCACCTTTGCAAACAAATCTGTACTCCCCAATAGGTCAGTAATGTCTTGTGTACACCGCCATCACAATCTCGAATTGCATTGTTCCTTGCTCCTCTGCACCGTGCAGTGATACTAATTTGCTCGTGATCTAATTTGTTGCCCGTGATCTAATTTGCTCTCTAATCCTTTCCAGCGATCGACAGGGGACTCTGCGTTTGAGGAGGGCGATATTAGAAGTTTTGAGCCTCCCAAAGAACACAGTGGTGAGTTCAACTATCTTCCTCGTCTTGGTTCTTCTGCTGCAACGTTTCCCTCCTCCTCCTCCCCTCCTCCTCCTCCCTTCCTCCTCCTGTTGTTTGCTTCTTCTTTGACTTGCTGAGGTTGGCCCAGATCGAGTACAAACGACATTCATGCTCCCTGCCGCACGATGACGAGCCAAGAAGATACAGTGAGATGATGATAAAAAAGATGATGTTGATGTTGATATTGTTGTTGTTGTTGTTGGTGATGATGATGATGGTAATGATAATGGCATGTTACATCTTCCTTTTCTCTGTGCTGGGGTTTTCAGCCATTCAGTTTTCGCAATCTAAAACAGTTCCAATCAGGCATTCAACGGCTCCAAGATCTTAAGAATGATCGTAGCAAGGTAAGAAATTCATTCACACGGAATCTTCTTCGCTCCTCACTCCTGCGCCTGCTCTCTTTTGTTTTGCTCTGTCCTCTGTTGATTTTAATTTCCTTTCTTCTGAGTCGTTGTTCGTTCGGTCTCCTATACCTCTTTCCTTTTTCTCTCCCTCTTATCTTGACAACCCTTGTCTCTTCCCCGTTCCTTCTCCATTTCCCTCCTCGCGTCCTTGTCCTTACTGCCCTCGCCCCATCCCCCCCTCCCCTTCCCTCTCCACCTTCCTTATCGCCCTGCCCCCCCGTTTCCTCGCTGCACTATGATTCCCCTTTCTCCGCCCCCCCCCCTCCCCTTTCCGCTTCCTCTTCTCCGTCCTCCTCCCTTCCTCTCGCTCATGCTCTTTCCTCAGGACCCTCCTCTGTATGTTTGGGAAAGCTTGGAAGCCATGCAGGAGCTGCGTCCTCTGATGGGCCTCAGTGCGGGCAACTTGAGCCCAAGCACGGGGAAGGACAAGGAGGTCGAAGAGGGAGAGAGGAAGGAGGATCTCCAGGTGACTGTAGGAGGGGGAAGTTGCGGCTCTGACGTACTGCCAAGTTCACCAGCGTCGATGAAAGCTGAGGAGGAGGGGGAGGAGGAGGAGGAGAATGGGCGGACGCAGGGTGGAAGGGGATTATTCTTTTGAACGCGTGAAAATTGTCATGCTGCTACGATCATGTTGATGACGAGGAGGAGGAGGAGAAGGAGAAGGAGGAGGAGGAGGAGGAGGAGAAGGAGGAGGAGGAGGAGATGGAGAAGGAGGAGGAGAGGAGGAGGAAGAGGAGGAGGAGGAGGAGGATTTTGTCCGGGGAGGGGGTGTGGGCACTTGGGGATGGGAGAGAGGAAGGGATTTCTACATATCACTTATGTTAATAATGAAAACAATCACAGCAGAAACGAGAGATCCATTGGCTCCTGCTGCTCCTCCTCTTCAAGCTCGTCGCTTACGATCCAATTCCTGCTGCCTCCGCATCTTCATCATCGCCGTCATCATCACTCGCCGTCCTTTGGAGCCTCGCCTTGCTGCTTCTCGTCCCCCGCGGGGTTCTGCTCGTTGTCTCCCCGCTTTTGATTTCTTTCCACCTCCTCCTTCTGTCTCCGTTCTTCTTCCTCTGCTTCCCTCCGCTGCTCTTCTTGCTTCTTCCTTTCTTCCTCCTTTCTCCTCTCCTCATGCTCCCTCCTTTCCTCTTCTTCCTTCTCTCGTTCTTTCCTGGCCATCTCCTCCTCCTCCTTCTTCTTCGCTTTCTCCTTCCTCGCTTCCTCCATCTCCGCGTTTTTCTTCGCTTCATCTTGCTTCACCTGCTGCCTTTTCCTTTCTTCTTCTTGTTTCCTTGTTTCCTCCTCTTTCTTCTTCTCCTCTTCCCTTCTCTGTTCTTCCTTCCTCTTTGCCTCTCTCCTCTCTTCCTCTTTTACCTGCTCTTCCCGCTGTTTTCTCTCCTCTTCCTGCTTCCTTTCCTCATCCTTCTTGTCCACTCTCCTTTCCTCCTCATTGGCCTTCTCATCCTCGACAAGTACAGGAAGGTATCCAGGATGTTTGTCTCCTTCATCCATCTTCGCCGTGACATTCTTACCATCAGGATTGTTGACTCCCTTGTCCTCCTCTTGCCGATCGCTGAAGTAGAGCGGAGGAGGAGGACGGGTCTTCTCATCCCTGGGAGGGGCATCGACCAAGTCTACTTCGTCCTGGGACGAGACGGGAGGAGGAGGAAGCGAAGGAGGAGGAGGAGGATCTTTCCTCTCCGACAAGTCCATGGTCGGGTAGACAATGCTGGCGACTTCCAGTAAGTCGGATGCGAGCAAGGATATTTCAAACTCCGCCTGAAGCCTGACCCCCTCCTCCTCCGCCGCCACGACCAGCGTAAAGGTGCCAGGAGGAAGCAGGTACTCCTTCCATGCTGACCCGGGGATGTAGTCGGAGCTGCCGGCCCTGCACTCGATCTCCTTCACGTCCTTGTTGTCGACCCTCCGACCTGAGACGAAGAGGTGAAGGCAGACGGCCGGTAGCAGACCAGCTGCCTCCTTCCTCGCCAGCAGCTTCACCATAACTCGCTCCTCCGCCATGCACTCCAGTCGGAACATGGGGTTGTTGGGGAAGCGGGAGGAGCCCAGGGGACCACCGGGGAAGGGCATCTTGGACCAGGCATGGCGAAAGGACTTAAAAGTGCACATAGAGGATGCACCCGCTTGAAGGGAGGGGCAGTCCAGTGCCGGGGAGAGCGCTACGAGCTCGGTGGAGTAGGAGGTGATGGTGTAGCCCAGGGAGGCGGCGGGCCTGTCGACGAGGAGGACGAAGACGAAGGCATGATCGCCTGGAGGGCAGGGGATCTTGAGGAGAGAGTGCGAGGACTTCATGTCACTGCTCGCTATCGATCCTTCCGTGCTGTACACCTTGCGGCCCCATCGGAACAACTTCATGCCCACCCTTGTAGCGTCCTTGGCGTCAGAGTAGTGCTTGGAGAGAAGGAGCCATATCATGGTGTGGGCGGAGCAGCGGAAGCGGATCAGGTACTGAGGAGCGTCATCATAGTGGGTGCTGCAGGGGCTTGCCTTCTTCCATACCCCGTGCAAGCTGCGATGGTAGCGGAAGCGAGCTGGACTCCAGCTGCAGAAGACTGACTGGAAGCGGCTCCTGACGTCTGCCCATGGCATCCAAAAGACGCCGAACTTCTTGTCCTCCTCCAGCTTCTCACCGTCAGAGCCTAGCGAGCTCACAGCGTCGGCTGTCCAAAAGTTTGCGTCCTCCATGCTCGCCCGCCCCTTCCATCCTGCTTCCACGTCGGCTGACTTGAGCTTCAGCAGCTTCAACCCATTCACTTCCGCCGCACCCAGCACGGCAAAGGTCATTTCGGAAGGGATCCCTGACTGCAGCCCTTCCTCCTCCGAGCATGCCTTGCTGCGGACAGTGAACATTCCAGTGCCTTTCTTCACTCCCATGGAGATCTTGTTCCACTCCTGATCCACTTCCTCTACCTGGATCGCTGCGATCAAAGGAATATCAGATAAAGCTGGAAACGACAAGCGAGATTTAGAGGGAGGTTCTTTCGGAAGCGAAAGAGTGGTAAAGAGAGACAACAGAGGCATCTATCAGAATCAAACGACAACAGCGTGTGGGAGAACAGAAACAGCAGTAGCGGTCATTAGATCGCTCGACTTCACCTTCAACGATGCCGTCATCACTGCCGCTATCGACATTCTCTACAGGAACCGCACTGATCACAACCTCTTCTCCTCCTCCTCCTCCTCCTCCTCCTCCTCCCTCCATGGAATGCAGGTGGATCTCTTCAGGGATCCAACCGCACAGAGCATGAAGATCCTCACAGCTGGTCCAGCCAGTGAAGTCGTACGACCCATGAAGCTTGAAGTAAGCCTTCTCATACAGACAGGCCCAGATCTCTTCTCTGCCTAACGAGGACGAACACATTAGCTCGACCTCTCCCTCGCTCTTCACAGGGAGGAACTCATCGATGCAAACTTTTCTCACCGCCCCGTTCACCAGCATCTTCAGCACGTACCTGCCCGACCTGCTCAGCACTGGGATCCCCCGCACGTGCGGGTAGATGGAGCGGCTGATGAGACTCTTGCCGAATCGCCTCTCCCAGTCTGCGCAGACGCTGAGCGAGAGGGCGAAGCTGTGCGAGTAGCCCGAGCTCTGGACGATGACTCTCCCTTCCAAGGAGTGGAAGAGGTAGGGCGAGAGAAAGATCTGAGAAGGCCGACCCCAACGGGCATGGCTCTCCCTCTGTACCTCCGAGAGCTTCGGGTAGCCGTCCGGGTCCTTCCAGGCCGACCCCTCATAGTTCTTCTCATCAGCATCTGTTAGGAAGAACCTTTCAAAGAACTTCCCGTTAATCTGGTTGCCCTGTATGAGGATCTTCTCTACTTCCGCCTTGTTCACCCTGGCGAACACCATTGTCAGGCTGTTCGGATTCGGCCCCTCGTCGTTGGGATCAATGGCGGTCATGTTGGCAGGCACAGAGTACGCGTCCTCCTCCTCCCCTCCAGGCGCGCTGGGCAGGCCCAGGATGTTAGCATCATCGGCCGACTTGCCAGGGTTGTTGCCCTTCGTCTTGGTAGTGCACTTCTGAAGCTTCTGGAAGTATTCCGCCTTGTTGAGCGCAGCCAATGCTTTCTCCCCTGCCCATTTCTTGAGCTCGCCAAAGCTCTCATGCCGCAGTGCAGTGAATGTATCCGCTGCTTCTGTGTAGTACTGCAGGGCCAGACCGATCTTGAACCCCTTTTCCGCGTCCTTCGCCCTGCCCTCAATCATGGCAGCGCGTTTCCTCAGCTCTCTGGCATGCTCGGACGGATTGTTGAGAAGGTTTTCTGCTTCTTCCATGAATCTGGATCATAACGGAGTCATGTTGATTCTGGCATTTATGCACATGGGAAAACAAGGAATAAAACGATCATCGGATAGTGATCATCGTCGCTGAAAGCAGGAAAAGCACATAACGAAACTGCACATTGTGAAGCGTACTAGAGCATATCATGAAAGCGCATGATGAAACATGCGATCTAACGTACTAGGCAACGACAAGTGCGTATATATACACAGATGAAGCTATTTCTAGCTGCAACAAGACTTACTTGGACACGTGCTTCCTAACCAGCAACGCCACGTTGGCGTCCTTCTCGTCCTGTACAAGCTTGATAAGCTCCTCGATGCCCTTGACATACTGAGAGTGAGCATATTCCAGCTCATTTCTCTCCTTCGCTATTTGCGCTCCAGCAATGATCTTCAGCCCAGCATCATACCGCTCCATGGCCGAGCAGAGCTGCCCAGGGTAGCTGCCTCCGGGCAAGATGTAACACAGCACCAAACCTTCCTCCAGCAGGCCTCAACGAGTGGCGTTCAAGGTGGGAGAGCTGCTTGTCTGCTTCTACGTCCTTGTGCGATCTTCTGTTTCCCTTTGCTTCCTTTGATGCACCACTAGACGCCTCCCCTACTGCCTCCTCCCCTCCTTCGCCATAGCTAGCGGGCGTAACAAGGTGAATTTGGTAGTAGCTTTTTAAAGGAGTAGAGTGGTACAAAATGTATAAATGTGTGGTACTGTTTACTTGTCAACTTCATACGGGCTACACCACTTATAAAGTATTATTATACCCTATATAAAATGTACAAATAGAATTGCAGGGAAGGCACCAAAAATGGAGGTTCCGCTTCCAGCCAATCGCTGCTGCTGCTGCTGCTCCTCCTCCTCCTCCTCCTCCTCCTCATCATCATCATCATCATCATCATCATCATCATCATCCTCCTCCTCCTCCTCCTCCTCCTGTACACGTTGAGAATCATGATGACTAGCATGCTTGTCCATATAGTAGGTGGGTGGTGCTCATATATGCATGCTCGTCCGCACAAGATGGTTGACACTTGATTATAAATTCTCTTGTTGAGTGGTGGCTGATGAAGCACGGACCACATTTGATTTACTCCAGGATGATGAAACCATAATATCGCCACTCCCTTGTACGTGCTCGAAGCAGAGGCACAATTTGCATGTTATTCTCAAGCAACCCGCAAAGATTTTGAGAAACACACAAACACTCATCGCACTTACATCTTGCATGCAATGCGCCCTGCTTGCTGCAGACAGATATGCAAGTTGTTTCTGAGTGTTTGTCGTTATTTCACGTCGCAACAATCGTGTTGAGTCCCTGCAAGCTTTGTTCGCGACAGAGAGAGAGAGAGAGAGAGATCTAATCTTTGCATGTTTTCGCGAAACCATGTGTTTAGATCCATTTGGTGGCACGGCTTCAAGTTCCTCCTGATTTGACCGGATGCAGGGCTAAAGAGCAGTATCAGATGCATCCGGCATGCAGTCAAGCATCAAAGTACACATAAATAGGTTGTTGTTTGTTAGCATGACGTTTTGCGGGTTCACAATGACCTATTTGTTTATGCAGGATGTACTTTGCTGCGCAGAGCTTTGCTGCGCAAAGTGATTGACGTGTCGAGTTTCTTGATAGCACACCTGCGGGGTAGTCAAGGCCAACCTGCAGACTTTAACATGTTGAAACTATGCACTATCTAGATGCCCCCAACATTCTGTCTTGGATCCTTATTTGGCCTTAAGAAGGCACGTGCCGGTTTCTCACTTTATCATCGGAAACGATCACCGGCTATATCTCGGTGCATTGAAAACAAAGATGAACCATTCAGTACCCAAACAGTGTTTGAATTGCGCATCGAAAGGCTCTACCTACGCGCGTTCAAGTAGAACCTTTGGATGCTTGCTCCCTGTGTATTGACGTTCTCTTCGCAACCATCCTTTGCAACTGACATCCTGTACTGTGCTAACACATGAACGGTGCTTGTTCCACCAGAATGTGCGGCTCGTCTCCTGCGCACGAGCATCGCCTGCCATACCCGAACCGGATCAGTCATCAGGAGTCATCCGACTGTCTTGCTTTCTGTCACGTTCTGTCGTTGCGATCGCCGGTCTCGTGATCACATGAAAAGACTTGTTTTCGATAAAATCACGTCGCACTGACTTGTAATTGTACCGTATGACGACTTTTCGCTGGGAAAACCGTCCTATAAATAGACCCTACCTTTCGGTACGACATGACGCTACCCAGTACCCACTCAAACATCCTCAGAAGTACCGGTTCTAAAAAGTAGGTACCCCTGTATCAAAGGAGCAGTGCTCTGATTGATTTGGAGGTTAAGTAATAACGCCTCAAGTCTAATTATCACTCAACTCCTTTCCGCGCCGCCGCGCGTTAGATGGTGTGTATGGCTACTTCAATCTCCCCGTTTCTCTCCCCACGTCTGTCCTCCTACAGTCGATATGTTTTTGATCTCTCCTGTTCTTACGATTGCTATCAGCTCTTTCTTTCCTTGTAAGCTAACCACCGGGTGGAGACTGGAGTCTAGCTCTTGTCAAAATACACATGCATGGAACGGGTCTCGAAGACTTTTCCTCTAGCCGAGCCTTCCCTCTGAGTGAATTCTGGTGTTAAAGTGTTTTTGTACGTTTCTGAAGCAATATCTTTTTGTTCCTGGATGAGATCTGCGCCCTTGCTGATGAAAACGGCATTTGTCAACCCGCATGTCGTTGGTTCATGTTTAGCTGGTGTTGTGACCGTAATCTTTCTAGTGCGGGTGAAAAACACTTGACTGCGTGTGCATTTCCATGTTTTAGTACAAGATTTTTTTGAATAATTTGCATCAGGTACACCTTTACATCCTGAAATTTCGCCGTTTCCTTTCAACAACGCACATTATTGGCTGTACAGTTGCCCAGCACTGAAGGTTTGTTCAACCCAGTTCCATGAGAGAATTTGTTATGATAAAGGTTGTGCAGGTCAACAATGATCTGATCTCCTGTAATCGCTCAACCTGTTCTTTTCAACCATCGAGCATGCTGTGATCCCTTCAAGGACACTGTCAGTGAGAATGACAGAACCAACTGGAAGCGTCTCGGTGTTTCCGAGGCGCAGGAGAGGAGAGGACATGGCAGAAGTCAAGGAACCTGTCGAGCTGACGTATGAACTTGTGTCTCGCTTCTTCGAGATGAAGCAGGAGGACGCTGCCCAGCAATTAGGCTTGTCGCTTACGAGCTTCAAAGGCGCGTGCAGACGTCTCGGGGTCGTAAGGTGGCCGTACAACAGGAAATACAACAGCAAGCAAGAGGAAAAAGAGCTGCATCACTCTTCTTCTGATAGGTCTGAATCAGCAGACAATGACTCAAACAATCGCTACCAAGGAGACAACGAAGCCTCGTACATGGAGCTGCCGAGACGGGAGATCGGCGATGAGATTGCACAGCATGCTCTCAGCGATGATGCAGCAACTGGCGATCATGCCAAGGTCAAGAAAAAGAAAGTCAAGCGCGGGAGAATGCGGGACTCTTCTGCAATGGAGGTTGATGCCAATGAAGGGAATGTACAGGGAAAAGATTTTGTAGATAGCTGGGAGGAAAGTGACGGATCACAGACAAACAGGGCATCTCATACCGAGGTTGTCAAAGTCGAAGAAGAGCTGTATATGGAAAAGACTATATTTGACGAGGTAATTGAGCACGTACAAGGAAAATAAAGAGATGAGTACTACGAAGCAAGCTGCTTGACCCATCGATGTTAAGAAATGTGCATTTAGAGATGCGAATCCGAATAGAAGTGGTTGTAACTAGAAGTATGTGTATCTTTGCTTCGTATCCTACCAATTTTATTTCTTGAAGAAAAATAAGCGGAACATATCATTCCACCTTGCCAAACGAGATTTGGCATCCATGCTCTATTGCCAAATTTGTTTCGTGTTCCGTGCTATTCTTCTGCGTTTTGTGATAGTGTTGCCGCCTGTGATAGTGTTGCCGCCCCCTGAATTCATCTTCATGATTTTTGGGCTCAATATGTCCATGGCTTTCATACGTTCTCTAAAGAGTTTGAGCAAGACCACGATTTCCTGAGAGCGCCAGAGCAATCACTGCTGCGTTTACTAGAATAGGACGAGCACGACAGACTACTGCTGTCGGCTAGGACATGAACCCTATTCCCTACACGTGCGGCGCTCTATGTTGCGCACACAACATATCTCTACTATGTGACGAACCTCTTGCAGCACCGCTTTGAAGGAAAGGGGAGCAAAAAAAAAACAAAAAAAGAAAAGAAGAAAAAAATCAAAAGACGTCTTTTGGGGAATGAGCACGTCAACCTTCTGCTGGCCCCTTTAATTTTGACCCTTTTATCGTGCACTCAAATTTGAATGAGAAAATCAAATTTTGGAGCCAAATATCAGGGAGGAGAAGGTACCAGATAGGTGAAATTCTGTACCACAATCTCGGAATCGGTGAAACAAAAGTGAAAGTATTGCGAAACGTTTCTCATTCCGATAGTAGCGCGAAAGCATAGTGACGATCGCTGCAAATTCTTGCAAATCATTCCAGATGTCAGGGTGTCCCTGTCTTGTTGCTGATGCAGGATGAAATCTTTCTGAAATGGACTGGTATAAGATGAAGCAATAACCAAGACCTGGTCTCGCATGCAGACTTCCAACTAGCTACGAAAGGAAACAGAAAATAAGTGCAGACAAAAAAAAAATGTCAAACCGGGAATGTTAAAGGAAATGACAAGCAGCAATATACCTTACTTGCCTTCATTCTAAACTCAGGCGCATCAAAGACAATCAAATGTATCATTAGTCTACTTTGCATGAAGCTCGCATTAGGGAACAGGGGTCTCGTGTCAACAAGCGGTACTCAAACGCGGCATACATCTGTTATCCTTTTTCTCCAATGCAAGAAGAACCCGTACATACTCCAGTGGAAAAATAATGAGCCGCTCTCATTTTCATTTCGTTTCTTTTTCGTTTCCTCCTGCTATTATGCTCCTCCTCACCTCTCCTGTCTTCCTGCTCTTCCACCCGGTTCTTCAACTCTTCTGAGCCAGACTGGAGCTGCCCTCAACCATGGATGGGTCTGAAATCTCTTCAATATTCTCGAGACAGACACTCATTTTCATCACCGACTCGGCCTGGTCGTGTGAAGTAGACCAACTAGAGGACACCGGATTAACAATGGAGGATCTTACTGAGCCGTACAACATAGTTCTGTTAGATTTTCCGATCAACTCAATGGGAACAAAGATGCAAGAATGAAATAGCAAGATGTGGGTGCAAGGATTTCTCATCAGATTGGCTGAAAGACGGTTACTAGTCCACACAACTGCTCAATCAGCAGCCTCAGAAGATTTCTTTCTTAGCTTGAAAGTCAGTCCTTACCTGGCTACTCCTGAACTGGACACAGGATCTTACCAAGTAATGACAAGATGGTGAATGGAAGTTCATATCACGATGCACATCCTGTGAACGCTTTTTGTAATTTCTTTGGTGCGGAAGGATAAAGTTGATCAAAAGTATTGCTGTTCTGTTCCTTTTTCAAAGATTACGAAACTATTCTTTGTGCGGCAAACCTACAAGAAGCATCGAATGCATTAGATGCTGACCAGTAAACGGACAAAGTGGTGGCAATGTTTAACATGGGTCGCTTCAAATATGAAACCTCGCTTCGGACAACGTGTTTGCAAAACGCGCAAAAGAAGATAATGCAAGAGCAGATCTTGTGAGCGAGTTGAACAAGTAAGTTCTTCATTTGGAAAGGAAATGGTCTGTAAGTCCGACAGAAAAACAGCAGCGCAACCACCAGTTGAAGGTCTTCGCAGAGAATGAATGAATGCTTGCCGGGAAAAAAAACAGCGCTACTCTGCATGGTTCACTTTACCCTTCTTTCTTTGATTTGGAACAGCATGTTGAGATTGTCACAAACAAACCAGTAAAATGACCCAAGCTCAACCACTTAGCTGTTGCACTCGAACCCAGAAAAAAAGGATCTGCCAAGTTTGTCCTTCCAAGTTTATTTTTACACTATACAAGTACGTATCAAAAGGAAGTTCTACTCCACAAAACTGCTTACACTCATCAATCGTCTCTTCTTCCATCTCGATCCCTCCCCTGACTCCTCCACATGCCTCAGCGCCTCCTCCAGTAGCTCCCCCCAGAAGCCCAGATCCCCCTCGTAGCTCCCCCTCCCCTCCTCCTCGCTGCTCCCCTCCTCCCCGCTCCCCCCCTTCTCCTCCGTGTAGCTCCTCACGTACGGCCACTTCTTCAGCCCCACCCGCCTGCACGCCCCCTTGAAGCTCGTCAGCGACACCCCCAGCGCGCTCGCCACCTCCTCCTGCTTGAGGTGGAAGTACCGCGACAGGAGCTCCAGGCTGATGTAGATGGGCTCCCTGGGCACGCTGTCGTCCTCGCCCTTCTTGCGGCGCGGGAAGATCTTCACAAGAGTTGGACTGTTGTGAGGATCGGTTGGGAGAGGAAGCGGCGGGACGTCGTACATGATCGTGGAGGTCATTCCGGCAGCAGTCGACTCTGGCTGGCCGGCTTGGGATGGATGTTTTAACAGAGATGCGGGTCACGCGGACCCCTGACTGAAATGGAGTGGTTTCGATTCGACCGTCTCTCTTGGAGCGATTCGTTTCTTGCTTACGAGATGTGGTAACGTTTCGGAGTGTGTCTGACCCCCAAAAACCTCGTCGCTTCTGAGTTCACTGGCTCTCAAAATAGTCGAAAATAGTTTTTTTTACGCATGTCGACGGTATCCGAGGGCGGTCGGACGACAGTCACAGAGGGCACGGACTTCGGAACTCCGTAAATCTCAATGGTGCTCGTGACGTCGGAACCGTACGAGTACATCATCGTTACGGACCCTACGAGTATCACATACAACATCGTTACGAACCGTACGAGTATCATATACATCATCGTTACTAACCCTACTGCGAGTATCAAAGATGCATACGACCGCCCTGACTCTATTTTGAGAGCCAGTCAACCCAGAACTACATCAGCCTGGAGATCCTGTCGCGGTAAGTTGTACGAACATCATATGCTTCATTCGTTACGACAGCGACGATCAAATTCATACACCTCTACCACCATGAAAACAGACCCAGTGATGTCAAACGTTTTTTTGACAGCAAGATGTATATGTGCACACAAAACTTATTATTTCATACAACAATTCAGCCTGAGGAACCTCAAACGCATTCAACAACGAGGAAGCCGCATTGTTGTGTCCTTCGCAAATCCTAAGTCCTCCCCTGACTCCTCCACGTGCCTCAGCGCCTCCTCCAGTAGCTCCCCCCAGAAGCCCAGATCCCCCTCGTAGCTCCCCCTCCCCTCCTCCTCGCTGCTCTCCTCCTCCCCGCTCCCCCCCTTCTCCTCCGTGTAGCTCCTCACGTACGGCCACTTCTTCAGCCCCACCCGCCTGCACGCCCCCTTGAAGCTCGTCAGCGACACCCCCAGCGCGCTCGCCACCTCCTCCTGCTTGAGGTGGAAGTATCGCGACAGGAGCTCCAGGCTGATGTAGATGGGCTCCCTGGGCACGCTGTCGTCCTCGCCCTTCTTACGGCGCGGGAAGATCTTGACGGTGAGGGTTTGATGGTTGGTGGGGCTGCTTGTCATTGCTGGGTGGAGCATACGGTGTAGTTTGCGCATTGTTGTAAGCACTGACAATGTCGAATTTGTGTCTGTTTGTATTTCTTGCCTTTTTCTTGTATCGATCTGCGTTCCCCTCCTACTCAATTTACTGTTGCATGCCCCAATCCCGTCTTTTATATTCATTGTTCTGGCCGGCTTTTCTTCCCTTCACGCTCTCGAATCTTCGATTTCCTATGACTAGGCTTACGTAAAACTACTCTGTGATTGAGATATGAACGGATGGGGTTTTGCAAGATTGGGTCGCATGACCTCGACTGATGATACTACCTGAGGCGGGTTGGACATTGAGAACTCTTGCGGCCCGGGGGCCGAACATCAGTGAGTCAGCATTACTCAGAGATTGCCAGAGTCGACTCGGTGCTTTGGACTCCGGGAAATGCTAATGGAGAGTACCGAAGGGCAATCATCAATTTCCAGTCAACAAATTTTTGGAGTAATCATTTTCCATTCAACGAAAGTTTGCAGTAATCATTTTCCACTCAACTTTTTGAAACTATAAATCATTTTCCATTCAAAACTCCCCGTTTTCGACCGTTACACGTATCTATAACGGTCGTAACCGTATACTTTTGTAATCATTTTCCAACTCCATTTTGTAACTTTACCCCACCCCTCCACCCCCCTTTAAACACCCCTTCGTACCCCTCCCCAAGACCCACCCCTCAAGGCCCAAAGCAGCTACCCCCTTCATAACCAGGACTCGGTATCAAAAATACCGGTACTATCCCCTACCCTAGTGTCACATGTCGGGGTCGGTGGTCCACCCTACCCCTACTAGCAATCTATTAGTCAAAACACACCGGTGTTCCTCACATACCGCCACCACCCTTCCCCCCCCAATACAATGCTATGCCAGTACCCCCCCTCCCCCCATATTCCCTTTCAGATCATACAGTCAATTACACCGGTCTTCCCAGATCACCACCACCCCCTTTTCCCCTCGTACCCTCCCCAGGCCCGAGTCTGTGTACCATCCCCCCTAGCCGAGTACCTGCCTCCTTGTCATCTCCTCGTACCTGCCTCCTTGTCATCTCCTCGTACCTTCCTCCT